ACTTGTGTGAGGTCTCGCGTTGTCTTGGTGAAACACTACACCTTTCCTGTTGATTAGTTCTGACCTTTTCTGTTGAAGTGCATCATTCAGTTTGTCCAGCTGATGACAGTAGACTTCCGAATTAATCGTTGTGTTATCCGGTAAAAGCTCAAAAAAAACGATTCCTTTAAAATCCCACCAAACAGACAGCATCACCTTTTTTTGGTGAATATCGGCTTTGGAAATGGTTTGAGCCGGTTCATCTTTTTTGCTCCATGACCTCTTGCGTTTGACGTTGTTGTATACAACCCATTTTTCGTCCCCAGTGATGATGCGCTTCAAAAACGGATCATTTTCGTGACGTTTGAGAAGCGAATCGCAGACGTCAATGCGGCGACACAGATTTCTCTCTGTGAGAACATGGGGAACCCATACATACATACAATTAAATCCTCTGTCGGGAAAAAACGAAATGACTTTCCGAACAACCCTATAAATTGACAGAGTTACTGAGGTGGATAAATAAATGGTTTAATTTTAATAACACAAACTGGTAATTTACATATAGCCATATAAATTTAAAAAGCAATGTTAAATTTGATCATTTTATGAAAATAGTCGAAAATTTAATCTACAAAAACTTGATGTAAATATGGATGATCTTTACGGAGAAATTTTTTTTAAACAAATTATGTAATCGGATATATAGTTCTAATGGTTTTGAGGAATAATCTGCTGCACAAGTATTTAATAAGACTGACGATAATTTTTCAAGTTTGTATAAAGTAATTTCATTTTTACTACACATTCCCGCCACATCAGTATTTACAGAGAGTTTTCTCTTTGATGAATAACAAATAGCGAGACGAAAGAAAAAAGCGTCTCTAAATATGAAAAAAAATGAACTACTTATTTACTTTAACTTAAATCTAGACTATAAAGATGCTGTGCAATTGTTTAGCAGTGATAATTATTTGTTAAAAGTAATGAAAAATATGTTTCTAAGCAAAATGGTAGAGTAAAATAAATTGTACTTTATTTTGACACAGGGTACTTTTTTTCTACCTTTAATAACCAAAGTCCTTTATTTATATAAAAGAAAAATGGCAACCATAATTATAAGCCTATGAACAGCAATTTTATTGTCTGTTATTAAGACTGCTATACCACCCTTCCGCTGCGTTGATAGAGCCGTGTCTCAATTAGTGATGGGCAAAAATATCGATAACAATACTAGCAATTGATAACTATCGATAATTATCGAATATGTCGATAACTGTCGATATGTAACGGCTAAACATTCGAAAATATTCAATCAGGCCTTTTTTATAGAACGTTCAATTTCCTCCAAACAATTCCTTCTGGATTTTTGTATGTACAGTGTTTCGTTATCGAGTTATAAAATTCTAAAATTAAGCAATGATTTGTATGCTATTTAAATGGAAAACAAACAATTGCAAAATGCTATCTCTAAATATTAATATTTTAACAGGATCTATGTTTATGGATATGTACTCTATCTACTTTTCAATATTCTTCGAAAAGAAAAAAAGAATAATCAATTTTTTGAAACACCCTAATACTGATGTATCGGTAATTAAGGAATTGTTTAATTATTCTATGAATTACGACACTCGCCAACATGCAGCGGAAGTCTTGACATTGCAATCTCAGTATACAATAAAAATGACGTGTATGGATTTATAAAATTATTAATGTTATAATTAATTACATTATCACGAAACTCAGAGCCCGCTGCAATTTTACCTGCTTTTATCGAGGCACTGTATGAGATATCGGCCATCAGTCCCGAAGAATGGTTGGGATACGGACGAACCTCTATTCCTTTCTATACTGACCCAATTTTCGTATTTGAACATCGCATATCCCTTAATATTTGCGTTTAGATCCTCATCTGTATTTTTTTATTCCTATCTGTTTCTATAGATATGTCTCTAACTAAATTTTCATGTCCCCTACCATCCTGTCTCCCCTTTTCCTTAGCGCCGTTGGTTTTCCTACTTTTCTCATTTCAAACCATTTCTATCCAAGGTAATTTTTAGAAATAGGATGAGCTAGTCAAACACCAGCAATAATAATTTAGTAAGTATAACAAAAACCTACCTAATTAAAATTGTATTGGGATAGGTCGTTTGTCCTAATTTGTATTATTTTTTGAATAATATGCTAAATTACTTATTATTTCGATATAGTTCATGTATTTACCTGTTCTCATGAATAAGAACACAACAGTACTCTTTAGGGTTGCCACCCGTACTCTATTATAAAGTATTGTACTCTATTTCGACTGTGCGTACGTTATACATTACAAGACACATAAAGTACGCAAAAATACTTTATTTAAGGCCTTACGTAAACATTGTAATTTTGTAAGCGATTATTCTAAATTCAGTGTATTTTTACGTCAATAATATTGCACAGAAAAATGGCAAGCCATATTTACGGAGCAACCTGTTTTCCCAAATCTGTTCAAAGTAGTATTCACTGTTATGAACGCAAAGTGGCGGGACGACAGGAATAAAGCTTCATTAAAACTAATTAAAAATGAACTTTGAGTTTACTTAAATCTTTGTTTGCCATGTTTAGAGGCTATTGATGTAAGAGCAACAGCAATTTGTTACTGACTGCTAAGTGTAACAAAAAATATGTTTTTAAAAAAAAAAAATAAAACTTTATTTTTATGCTGAGTACTTTTTTTTTAACCTTTTAGTCGAGAAATACTTTATGTAAAGCCTGAAAAGGTGGCAACCCTAGTACTGTTACAATTTCTGTCGCTTGTACAGAGTTGTATACCAGATTTTGATTAATGATAACTTATTAGTATGATTTGATAAATTTAATTGGTTGTTTAAAAGACTTCTCGAACGGGACTTAATGTGGTTTGGGACGTTGGTGAGGGTGGTATTTAATTTAAGGTTATCCGGTACCCGACAAAATCTCTATCCAATGCATCTCTAGTATTTTGATCATCCGCCTTTAGCACTAGATCTCAAACGCTTCAAACTTTCTGTTCCTCGCGGCGTCGTGATTTTTTTAAATTAATTCCATAGAACCCCAATTCATCTTACGTCTATATTATGAATAACGGATTCTTTCCAATTTTCTTTTTAAAAAACTGAAATTTTAGTACATACTACATTTCATTTAAATTACCTTTCACCCTTATTTAGTCAATACACTACGAAGTGGTGGCGATTTAAATTTTAATAAAAAAGAAACCATTATTTAGTTCAAATTGGAACGTAAGGAATTAAAATTAACACCTGCTAACCTCATTAAGTATTCCATTACTAAAATACAGACTATCTTATTCATGTAGACTGTAGAAGTACCTACTAGCAATTAATTTTACATAATAATTTAATATTGTAAATTTCTGTGGATAATATTAAACAAATTGTTTTTTGACAATACGAAAATACATATTCATATGCACTTTTATATCGTCGACGAGATTAACCTTCAGTTACGCCTATGGGAAATGAAAACCCTCGTAAATTATCTCCTAATAAATTTGTGATCTTACCAACTAAATATTTTAAAAAGTGCAAGATAATTAATTTAACTTTTCTCAAAAAACACAGAAATGACGATAGTCCTGTCCTAGGAAAAACTGCGTACTTTTTGCCAACCCTTTTTGTTTTTCTCAAAAATAAATAGTTACTCGATACCTACAATCGATTTATATCCAAATTCATTTTCCACAACTAAAAGATTATTTTTAGTCAATTTATCTTTTCAACGCATCGATTGGTAAAAAATACTACAATGTTAGACAAAGAAAATCATTCAAGGAGAAAAACAGAAAACTGCTTATCTACAACACGAATATGTATACCTAACAAGTATAAAATCAAATGTATCCTACCTTGATCTTCCATTTGGAAAAATGAGTCCTTCCAAACAACACTTACACGAAAGTGCAAACTCGAATTACAAAGCTAAGAAGAACATTTTATTAGACGGCAATTTCCACGACAACGTCCGATAAACTAATGAATAATGATGAAAGCATCAAGCGAGGAGAATTATGTAGAGGTGACCTGTTATTCGATTGTTTTCGATGTAGTAAGTTCGTGAACTTACGGAAAAAGAGGCAAAAAAAGATAAATGTCACAATACACATCAACATAAACTCCAACAACTGGATAAAATTATTTATTAAAATGGTGATGGCAAATGAGCAAATTTAATTTTAAAACATTTCTTGATTATAAATACTTTAAATTTCTTCAAAATTATAAATAAAAATAAAGCAAATTTATAAAATTTTGCATCAGATTTTGTCAACCAAATAAGTAAGATAAAGTAATGTTAAAATTTCTCAGTCCCCTCCAAAGAGCACGATTGAACAATGAATAATTAAAGAGGGATTAAAAAGATAAAATCACTTTTTAAATAATACACTTACCTTTTGAAGCAACAGCACCATTAAGGAAATTAACACCATAGAAAAATAACAGAGTAATTTCCATGAAACTTTCAAAATAAGACATTTATATTTTAAAAATCCTTGCTGAATTTCAAGGTAATCATAAGAATAGTTTAAAAGTAGTGATAAGCCAAAATAGTATTGGTATTGCAATTTTCTTTTGTCATGCTCCTGCACATTTAGCAAGATCAAAACAGAACTAATTTTCACTCTTACAAAATAAATTAAAATTACTCCATGAAAATTTTAAGTAAGTAAATAAATGTATTATTAACAGAAATCGGGCCTGTTATTGCAACTAAAATGTCCAGAAATGAAAATAACACACAGAAAATGAGAAACGAAAAATTATCTAAATATTAAAGCGATATTTACAATTTATCGCACTAGCCCGCTGCTTGGTAAGCGAAAATAATAAAAATTACAATTTGGACCCGAATTTGTAAAAATAAAATCCCAGCAGAAATAAATTTACATGACAAAACTACTAAAACGATATGTCAGATAGATCTGATGATGGGGATCGGTTCTATAAGAAATAAAAATCGTTGTTTTGTGTTAAAAAACAATAAAATATAATTAAAGTCGTATACATAGTGAAGCATACAGATATGAACCTATATTTATTTATTTATACAAGAATGTTACGTATAAACTTTTGAACGATATACACAATGAGGCCGAAACGACAGGTGTGTGAAAATAAAAAATAAATTCTTATAAGTTAAAAAAAAAAACAAAAGTCAGTTCTGTGTACAAAATTTCGATATGTACAGTAATAACAGTCGTATCGTAAACAATAATAATAATAATAATAATAATAATATAGTAATAGTAATAAAGCTTGTTTAAATACACTTTATCGCTGGCAGCTGCTAATTGATCGTAATATTATTTACAACTGTTTGTAGAAAAAGAATCTGAAACCGGTGGCTCAATTTAATACAAATACACAAATAAGTACTTACAAAAAGATAACGAACGTCGCTTTTTATGAGGCAATAAATAGATCAAATAAATCATAAATCTAACTTACTCTTATACATATCGACGACGTACAATAATATTTTAGGTATTCGCTATTTTTACAGATTTAGTTAGGAATTAAAATGCGCGGTGAGGCGTCGAAATTGGAAAACGAAAACAAACGCATTTGATGCAGTTAAATCAAAGAAGTCCTTTCTCATATCCAGGCCCTTTCTAAAGTATTATCTTATGGCACAAATCATTTCCATATATGTATGTATTCAGTAAATACTATGAGTTTTTTATTTTGAGACAATCAAATATCTCGATTGAATAAAAAGTTATACGCTTTCGAAGACGAAATCAATTGGTAATCATTAAAAAATCACATCTAAAATGACCAATTGATATAAACCCCGAAAGTTTGCCTGAAATTTTTTCTAAAATAATGAAAATCAATCAAGATGTTTTCATTGTTACAAGAAGAAAGACTCCCCTTACAGGACAGAATATTTCGACGCGCCACACTCTCTTATCTCATTATAATATAATATATTACGTACAAAATCACATCGATTTATATTATTCAATAAATTTATTTTTCCACGTATTACATCTATTACGTATATTTTGTTTCACAATCGTTTTCTAAGATAGTGATCGAGATCTCCAATAAGGAAGGCAGAGGTCGAAAAACAAAAAATAATTATTATGTATTCTTACCCAAAAAAAAAATAAGAACCGAAAAATAAACATCCATTTCTTCGTTTTTCTGTCAACGAGCTAACGAGAGTATAATAAGTCGAACACGAGGGGTAGTATGTGAGTGAGGGGTGTGTAGGTGTAGCTGAATCAGAGATGAAAGCGTCCATGAAAACGTCGCACAATGTAAGTAGGATTGCAAAAAAGTCACTGTATCGTAAATGGCACCGTAAGACTAGAGAGCTGTGACCGAGTGGCGAGGGGCCAAGGCGGTCACTCAAATGGGCCCGTAGTTACTCAGAGAAGGTCCAGATCCGGCTCCTTGGTGAGTAACGACAACGGGCGTGGCCCCCTCGCCCGCTTGTCATACGTGACTTAAAGGTGGTTGTTTCAACACGTGATGGTGCAAATGGTGCTGGCTGGCAGACGCAACGCTGCTTCCAGTCGGTCCGAGTAACGAGGCGCTTCCCGGAGCCGCAACCAAGTACTGAGGGGGCGGTTTACCCGGTCGCGTTTTAATAAGGACTGCAGCCGCGCCAGTTCGATCCGATTTACCGAACAACCGCCTCCAGAGACGTCTCCACGAGTCGAGAGTCTTCCCGGACCAGATCCATACTCCGGAAGTGATGCCGACCGCCAGAGCCATAAAGTATTTCAACATGAGTACAGAATATAACGGTCGTAAACGCGTCCGATTGGGCGTCAAACACGGACATGCGATCGATGCCAGCCATTCGTCGTGGAAAGCGTTCTCGTACAAATAACATCCGATTACTATTGTAGCAGGCACTGTGTACAGCACGCTGAAGATGCCAATTCTGATCATCAGTTTTTCCAGTTTGTCAGCTTTCGAACTGTCGTCCCCTTGGCGTTTGATCACGTTACGTATGCGGAAAAGGGACACGAGACCGGCGAAAAGGAAACTCGTTCCCAACAGCAGGTAGATAAGCAGCGGAGCCAACACGAAAGTACGCAAATTCTCCATGTTCATATTTCCCACATAACAAATACCAGAAACGGGATCACCATCGACTGCTCCAGACAGTAGAACACCAACTGTTTGTATGGTGGGGATCATCCATGCCGCCAAATGGAAATATTGAGCGTAGCTGGCAATAGCTTCGTTACCCCATTTTAAACCGGCTGCCAAGAACCAGGTCAGTGATAAAATGACCCACCATACCGACGAAGCCATACCAAAAAAGTATACGAGAAGAAACACTAAGGTGCAAGTGTTTGGACCGGTCGAAGAATACCGAATGACCTTCCCATCGCAAGCGATGTTCTCGTGTCCGATACCGACGCGAACCAGATAACCGATCGAGACCAGGAAATAGCAGGCTGAAAGGAACACGATGGGCCTCTCAGGATATTTGAAACGTTCTGTTTCGATGAGGAAGGTGATGAGTGTCATTAGGGTGGACGCGGCGCACAGGCCCGACCACAGAGTTATCCACACGGTTGCGAACTCTTTTTCGTCGGTGTTGAAGAACGTCTCCCGGCACGGATACCCGCAGTCCGCGACACCTCCCACCGCGACGCTTCGGTTGTATTGTGGCGAGTCCCTCCCCAGAGGAATTAGAGGGTGGCGGCACTGGCAAGTGCAATCTCTTCCTCTTGCCTTGCTTCTGTCCCCTGGGGGATCCGCGCAGTTTTTTGAATTCTTGCAATTGTTTTTGTTGTGTTTGGGCCTCGTCGTCGATTTTGAAGATGGGAAACCTCCTCCTGAACCGGATTCGTTCTTATTTTGGTCCATGCATAGCTCCTCCCCGCCGTACACCGGAAACTGATCGCATTCCATACGATCGGGCCATTTGAAACCGTACTGTTGCATTAACGGTTCGCAACCCTCTCTAGCCCTCCGACACAAGTCTCTACAGGGTGGTAAACGTTTGTTGTACTCTTTCAAACAAATGGGCGTGTACATTGAACAGAGGAAAAACCTCAAGTCCGGGGAGCATTTTATCTCAACCAGGGGCCAAAATTGATGAACCTCTAGACCAGCTTCTTCCTGATTATCGTGATTGAGTTCGTTGGGCATCCGGGTCAAGTTGTAACCGATGCCCAGACACATTGGTATCGTAATTTCTTCGCATTTTCCTTCTCCTTCGACCAAATCCGTTTGGGACGAGATTAGAGACGTGCCGTCCGAAAATACGTCACCAATAACCGAAAACACTAGGAGAATAGTCACTAACAGCGCGCACCACCGCATCGTGTCTTTATCTCGTATGTTCAAAAATACCGCGCACGCACTCTCACGCCGATTCGTGCAGCATCTATTTACGGAACTGTTTGTATTTTAGTTTAAACCGATCGCTGTTTTCGTTCGATCGATTTTTGTTTATTTAGCGAGAGGCAAGGCAGTTGCCTGCGTGCCCGACGACGTCGGGTGCCTCCGGCCTGTTCCATAACCATGTAACGGGACCTGAAACAAGGGATTCCTTCATTAGACAACGAAAACATATCGACAATTAAATCGGAAACGAAAAATAATATTTACTTAAATATACATAACTACATATATTTAAAACAGGGAACGTTTCCAAAATAACTAAACATAAAACAAAGGTTTCCTTATGCCTTAAACTCCAGGAATATTCAAAGTAATTATAGCATTATTGTATATATGCCGAAATGAAATACAGTGGAATTCGTTTATTATGACTCCGCCTACATTGACCAACCCCTTAATATGAAGTAATTGCAGTATTAAGTTTGGTTTTCATATTAAATTCTCTATAAGAAAGTTTGGATATAATGACTCCGTTTAAAATGGCATATCGTTTATTACAACCGATTCTCAAGAAATCATATCCGGCTATAGTGACCCAAATGATTAATAATTACATTTTCGCTCATTTTTCTGACCCTTCTTATATATATTGATATTACAATTCACCGTTCTTTTTCTGTTAATAAATATATACAATTTATAGTTCTTTCTCTCTATTAAACTAAACAATTAACCAAAATAGAAAGTTGTTGTATGACATCCACTTAGTGTCACGTGTTTGTCATTTCCTTTCGATGTCATTATAAGCGGATTCTACTGTACCTATAGATTTATTGTTCACGGAGAGAAAAATCTTGTAAAAATTATCATGCTATCTCATAATTTCGGTGTCTTTGCCTGACAATGGAGGAAATATTAGACTTATAAGGCTCCCTTACAAAAAATATTGAACTAATATCTATTAAATTATGTCATGGTAATTTTTCCAAGATGTTTCTCTCCGTGATATGTGCCTGTTTTGAGTTGGTGACTCCATAAATAGCACCTAGTTGTATTCTTGTAAATATCTAACCATCAAAGCGATCGATCTCGAGCAATTTATATATTGAGACAAACTGGAAAAGCAATAAAGGGGATTTGCGGAAAATGGGAAGTGTTCAACCCTCGTGTACTTTTCACGATCTCGTTGTTAACGAATCTCCGATGACCCTCAAATCAAACATTTTGAGGGAACGCACACATATATCATACACCCATGCGTACAAACAGACCCATAATTGCATTTTGATGCACTTCGACTGCATCCTGAAATACAGTGGAAAAAGCAATATAAGAGTATAGCGACGCGGGAAGAAATTACATCCCCCTTCCGTGATAACACGTCGTCCTGTGGATTCGGGTGGGTGGTGGGTGGACTGGATGTGCCGGGGGGTTGCCAAAGGGCGACGGACGGCTCAATGCGTATTAACGCGTGACGTCACACAACCCTCGTTTCAATTAGAACCAGATTTGCCGGCATTTAATTCTTGTCGAGGGGCGTTATATAGGAAAAACATATGTCGATCTCTAAAGTGAAAAGTTTTCAGTCGAATAGGCGCAAAAGTGGTGGAAAATCAGCTAAATATTCTGACTACTGTTCAAGTTTTATTTAATAGGGGGAATAATCAATAAGTAATAAGTAATAGGACTTAAATATCAAATTTGATAATTTATTTAATCTGTCCAACACAAAAGTACTAATATTCTACGTTGGAGTATGATTTTTGAAGTTTGGTATAAGTATACTTGACATATTAAGAAGCCTCCCCTTCAATTTATTAGTTTGATTGATGTACAAAACTATTCTATTCAGAACACATTTGTTCTTTCATCATCATCATAGGCCGTCAGTCCTAAGATTGGTTGTACCCGCACTTCCACTCGTTCTTATCCTGAGCTAATCTTCGCTTTTTCCTCAAAACTACAACAACCCATATCCTTACTTAATTGTTTGCGAACAGTAATCTAATCTAGGTCTACCTCTACTGCTCTTAACTCTTGCTTCTGCCTCCAATATGCCTCTAACTAGACCTTCATGCATGAGAATGTTTCCTACCAACATATCTCGCCTATTTCTTACTGACTTCCATAGAGTCCTCTGTTCCCTTATTCTTTCTAATACCCCTTCATTTCTAACCTCCTCTATCCACGATATCCTCATCATTTGCCGGTAACACCACATCATTTCGAAAGCTTCTAACCTTTTCTTTTCGCCGCGCCCCTCATCCATGTTTCGCACCCGTACCGCGCCGCGCTTCAAACATACACCTTTAACAATCTTTTTAGAATTTCTAAATTAACCGTTAGCAAGCGCAGAAGTGACTTCTTTTTATTGAAGGCGACTCGACCCTACGCTATCTTTTGCTTTATATTCCTACAACTCCTTCCGTCCTGACTTATCTAACTTACTAGATACCTAAAATCATCCACTTCTTCTAATTTTTCGTTTCCTATCCTTGTATTCGCTCTTTCCCTGCATACCAGTATTTTTGTTTTACTTTTATTTCTTTACTTTTGTCTCCCCGACCAGAATTTATAGGGGGATGCCTCATATAGCGTGCAGACATCATGTCGCGTGTAGATTTCATGTAGTAAATGTAACAGTGTGGATTATTTGAAACTAATTTTAAGCACTTTAACTTAACAGGTTAGAAATTTTAAAAGAAGTGGAAAAGTGTTTTCCCAATGTTATACACTTGTCCAGATACACATCCGTACGCGCACATTCTTTTGAACATACATCTTGAAGTACTTTGACCAATTTCACATTCAATTTATCTAAAATGTAGTATGTAAACTATTTACACTTCCTTCAAATGCCCTAGTGCATTTCCAAAGTCGTAAATAAAATAACGAGCTCATATACATAAAGCCAAATAACTGGATTAGGACTTCAAGTGTTACTCATAACGCAAAACATTGGCGCGATTTAGATTCTTATAACCGTTGGATTTTTGATAAACGACACTCCATTGGAACGAAACTGCGACTGGTCCTTAAAAATAATATGAAAAACACCAGAGCTGCAACGCAGCAGGTGAACGAATCTGGCATGTTCCAAGTCTCAAATGCAAATTCGCCAATTTTATTTTACAAAATCACATTCATACAAGTGTCTGGGTATATAATATACAATGCTGCCATACCGGTTTATTTATTAATCGCATATTATGTTCCCCATCCTCCACTTCCTTGGAGGTGCCGAAATGCTCTTCTAAAATATACTACAAGATAGTAAACAATGTCATAACCATCATCATCATCCGTCCTAAGACTGATTGGACATGCACTTTCACATTTGCATCTCCTTAGCTAATCTTTGCAATTCCTTAAAACTAGAACATCACGTAAACGAAATGTTTTTCGACAGGTAATCAATAAAAATATCGATAATAACAAGGATGATGTGCTAACTGCCATCTACGATTAAATAGAAATATAAAGCCATCAAGCCAAACGTGAAGTGCCATCTGACAGTGTAAGGAGCAAGTTACTACGAGAAAATGGAAGTATAACAATTTCTGTACAGATGGTTTAAGGATAATAAAGGATAATAGAGATGGGCGAAACTTTTTGATGTTTAAATAAAATACACTATCTTCAAGATCTCAACCACACTGGAAAATAACACAAAAATCTACACTTCCAGTAATATTGCAGGACATGTTATCCTTAAGGATTGAGAACTACCCCATTTCATAGTTTTTAACAAAAATACCATTCTTTTAAGTTGTACAAAATAACATTGCCATTGTCACAAATCATTTCTGTCGTCTTTATTTTGTTTTTTCGTTCGTTCTTTTTTTTCTTTATTAAAGTGTTAATTAAAAAATTTGATCTAAAGATGACATTAACTCGCGTCCCGCCTACATTGGTCACGAATATCACCGTAAGCACGAAAAGCAGGAAGAAAGAGAAGGGGCGGAGCGGAAAGTTAATCAAACGAACAACTTTGCAATCGAATAATGAATGTAATGCAATTTAAGAGTTATTTATTCTTCGTTCGACGCTATATTTCACTTGTCAATTACGAAGATAAATTCAACGACTGGTTCAGTGGCGTAGCGTGAATTTCTGCCACCCGGGGAGAAGCTTAAATTTGTCGCCCTTTACATATTTTTACCATTATATGTAAGGCCTATATAGAAATAGTTCATTTCAATTCAAAATGTGTTAAATTAATTTAAAAGGTTTCGCATAACTTTTTTCCATTTACATACATACATTCAGAATGGCAAAAGGATTTTAAGGATCCATCTCAGTATTTATAAAGAATTGCGGTTCTTTAAACAGATTATATCGAATCATCAGTATTTTTATTGTCATATTCTTTCCGTATGTTTGCAATGAGTTGCATCATTGTACTAACTGCATTTATGAAATTTACCATAATATGTAGTATTAAGGATTTTGTTTCACGACATTACTAGTAAAAAGTTTATGCTAGAGTGTATCGTACAGTCAGTTAGTAGGTAGCCGTGATACCTAAGCCTAAAACTTTTTTGCTGTTACTGCACTATTCCCAGCCAATCCCGTATCCCTTCTACTACTTCAGTGCGATAAATTGTTCGTTATTTATTAATTAATATCTCAGAAACTGTGTTGTAATAATTAATCAAACTTTTTTCAAAGAAGTTATTAGACATTGTTTAATCTTTCTGTAGTTTTTTAAAACATTTGTAAGAAGGGATTCCAAGTTAACATTGTATTTCTAGTTAGCCTCGCCGGTATCCTGTATAGTACAATGTATAAGAGCCGCAAAAACGCGAACTTTGAAATTAAATATCTCTGAAACTATATTGTCCAATAATTTCAGTCTGCACATATAGGTGAAGAATAACTTAAATAATATTCTGTCAAAATTTCAAAAGAATCCTAAGAAAACGCTTTTCATGGAACANGGTAAAGGTCTAGATGATGGCCCCCACCCCCATAACTTTAAATGGGGATGAGACCGCCACGAACTTTTTATGGTACAGTGGTGGGGGAGACCTCCTCTTTCGATCCCACCCACCCCCCATCTAGACATTTACCAATGTTTTGTTTGAATAGTACACATAGTTTTTTTTTTGATAGGTATGTTTTTCTGCGGTTATTACCCTTTTAGCTTTTATAATCGTAGGTATTCTTTGACGTATATTTTTGTGCTTAGG